CAGTTTGGTTGACATAGCTATAGTAGTTTTCGAGTTATGTACAAAAAAGTTAGTAGGGGGCGGGGCCACTCCAACTTTTCCAAAGAAATTACCTCCAAATTGTGCCAAATTTCATTTTAATATCTTCATTTATAGCTTAGTTATGACACTTTTTAGGTTTTCGGTTTCGGGCGTGGCAGTCTGCCGATTTTGCCCATCTTCGAACTTAAGCTTCTTATGGAGCCAAGAAATACATGTACCAAGTTTCATCATGATATTTAAATTTTTACTCAAGTTACAGCTTGAGACAGACATCCGGATTTCGACTCTACTCGTCTCCCCTGATCACTTTGGTATATATAACCCTATATCTGACTCTTTTAGTTTTACGACTTACAAACAACCGTTATGTGAACAAAACTATAATACTCTCTTTAGCAACTTTGTTGCGAGAGTATAAAAATTATAATATAAAAATTCGATTTTCAAAAGCGAAATGCAAAACTAAAGATTAACTTCCTTTGTTGAGAATTGAAAAAAAAACGAAAAAGCTTTAAAAATTAAAAACAAAATTCCAAAAAAATTTCAAAACTGAGGATCGACTTACTTATTCGAAAATTAAAAAATTATAAAAAACAAGTTTTATTTTTTTTTTTCAAAGAATCTTGGATTTGTTTTGTTTTTTAGACAAAACTTTCCAAACATATCCTTTTTTTATTTCCATAATCCATTTCTTATTTCAGAATTTTTTTAATATTTTTACAATCTCATTTTCCCAAATAACCCCATTTGAGCGCCCCTGCCAAAGTCGTTGCACTATGTCAGCACCCACAGCCAGCTACCTTCAAACAAGCGGCTGCGCATGCGCAATGTAATGACTTAAAGAGTGCAGCACGTTGCATGCATGCTCACATTGAACTACTACAGCCCCATTCACATACATAGGTACACGCATAAGTAATTGCTTTGCTGCAACAATTGTCATTTTCGAAACGGCGCTGCAACACTGAACTGAACTAAATTTATTGCGCAAAATTATTTAACAAAATTATTCAGCAAAATTACATAAGCGCAATTCATGGGCTATTATAGCATTGCTCTAAGCATTGTACGAGTATTAAGCACTTAAGTTTAGAATGTTTGTTGCGGCGTTGTGCAATTGCAAGCTCTCATTTCTAGCAGTACTCTTCTACCCGCTGCCACTCTCTACTGGCTGGGCGCTGAGATGCCTCATCATACTCACTTGTATTGTTGACTTGACTTGCGTGCGTGTCCTCCGCGTCCAGATCTTTGTCCACACAACACGACCAGATCATGCCACCCGAGCAGAGGTCAAGCGGTTTGCCGCCGCCCAACACACACGAAATGGAGAGACCGCATTCGAATTTATGTCCACGAAAGCGGCAAGACTGCGGAATCACTGAAAAGTAAAAACAAGAAAGTCGAGAGAAAAGTAGAAGAAAAAATTAGTTAATAGAAATTAAATCAGCATAAAGCGAAATAAAAGTCATAAAGTTGGAGGCATACAATTATAKATAGATATAGACATGTAAGTGTGTGTGTGTGTAGGGGAAAAGTTGATGCGCAAAAATTATGAGAAATAGGAAAGCATGAAAAATTGCGTGAAAATGAAAACGTTTTATTAAGAAATCTCTTTCGCGTGCAAAAACATACTGCACATGTTAATGTCGACGGCTAAACCATCTATTTGTAATTATACAGAGTGCGTCATTTGGGTTGCATTTAATTTGAATTTGCTTCAGCTTTCGCTCAGAATACTTAAAATTGTTAATTAAGACAACAGTTATTAAAATTTTCGGCATTACAAACTTAATTGAAGAAATAATAATAATTTATAATTAGAATTAATTAAATTGATTAAGTTAGAAATAT